ACAATAAAAGAAGTTAGTGTACTTACTTTCATAATAACAATAGTACATCGTAATGTCCTTCCTGTTGAGTATACTATAAGGTACTGACCCAGTTCGTTCGCTATAATCAGCGCCGGTCTTTTCTTTATCGTATTTAATCCATTCCGTCGWGGCGACCATCCACTCAACTTGTTGACATTTCGRCGAATTATAAGGCAATAAGTAAAAYGGRCGCGTTGCTGGTAGCTTGATAGGAACGGATTTGTCTCCGCTATTTGCACAGCAAAAMGTCAACCGTACGTTACCATTGGAATTATCATAATAAGGAAGAGGTGTAATTAACTGATTTTGGTTCATTGTGTTTTCATCATCCCATCGAATTCGACCTGATGACGTTCCACTGGTCTTTGGACAGTTTCCGTAGAACTTGTTATACACACAATATTGTCCTGCGATATAAGAAGGAATACTCYATTTGTATAGTACTAGCTCTAAGGWTAGGTAATGCTGTTAATGKAATGAGTAATTTTGACTTTAAACTTTTAAATATAATTCCTTCTTTGAGTAGAAAAATATAGATGCTAGCAAAACCAAGAATTCAACTTCCAAGTGGTAAAAGCCGAGAAGGTGTGCTCGCCATATCATCTGAAAGCCCGATCACCTATAACTGCCTACATCATCTACCGTTACCCCCCCCCCCCCCCCTGATACAACACCTTTTGGCCATGATGTTCCCTTTGAATTTGTCTTCAAACAAAATTTTCTTAGAACGTAGCTAGCAGCCACGTATCCGTCAATATGAAGAGACTGGGATCTATTGTTACTAGGTAGAGTGTCTTCCGTGTCCTGGTAAATCCAGCCTGATTTCTGGGGCCATCCAACCGGGCACCCTGTGGTTGGCTTGAGAAGGGCATACTTTCCTTCCGGCCAGGAGATCATGTTACCTTTACAAACTGAAAAAAAAAGATTTTAGAACTAGCAGGAAAAAATAAATAAATAAAACACTTTGTACAAAAAAAGTATTGCTAATCAAAAATGCTGTAATTATACAAAAGGAGGGTTACAAGATCAGCACCAATATCAATAGCATCCTCCGCAGAAATCCTTCCATGGTATCCGAGGATGCGTCACACGAGTCTATTTTAAGGCCGATTTAGACGGTGCAATTTTTGCCTACAACTATCGCATGCAACGTGGCTACAAACTGTCGTAGGGTTATCAATCAATTGTTTTTAATCTCTACGACAGTTGCAGCCATGTTGTAAGGATGACTTACGCAGGTTGCATGCGATGGTTGTAGGCAAAAGTTGCACCGTCTAAATCGGCTTTTATATAAACAAGTTAGGTTTCCTCCCATTTCTCCTTTCTCGATGACATATCCCCAAAACGTATATAAACAATGTGAAATACACGTTTTATCAAGTCCTCGAACAAAAGAGGACAAATACGAAAGCAACTTTACCGGAAGCTACCGATACATTTGTCGCCACGTTATAGCGTCATGTAATGACGTCATATATGATGATACATATTGTGTAATGTCTTTACAAAAGGATCGATATTGTACTATATAATAATGCAATACAACAATAATGTATATTAGATTTTAAACGGATACTGATTCGTCAACAAGTGATACAATAATTTAATTGTTATATTATGACGAAATGAAACAGGAAAACTGATTTAAAAGATTTAAAAGTCTTCTAACTTCAGGCCTAATAATGGCGCAAATACATGTACACCTAAACCCTGGGGAATATAGGTTGTTTTATACTCATAATCATTAAGCACTTCAGTTTAAGATGGTAAAAAAAAGTGAGGTGCAACGACTCGAGGATGAGAACAGGCATCTTTCTAGTAAATGAATATTCATCCCGGAAATTCACATTAAGAATATGTCTTTATAAAGCAATGAGGAATCACTTAAAAACTTGTCATTTCTTCAATATTTACTAGAGCATTGGTCTTCATTCCTCAGTGTGGATTCTCTACTGTGATTTCATTATATACTGTTGAAGTTCAAAAAATTACCTCAAAGCTTACCTCAGAAAGACACAGAAGAAATGTCTATACGTCAGTTTTTCAATTTTTTCATTAAACCCAACAAAACATAGAGCAGTAAAAGCTATTTTAAACATGTACATTTGTATACAATCAAGACTTCCCGAGACTTCCTGGCCTAGCACGGGGAAAAGCACAGAGATCGATAGAGATCCAATATGCAACAATGAATCGTACAATGAATCGAAATGAGCCGCAAAATACTCCACAGGATATGACAGTATTGCATTTATCAAAAATAATATCAAATAATGCAAAATTGTAATCGATATATGTAACTTATGGCCCTAATAGCTCTATGATATAATAATTACATGTAATTCACTCACCTTTGGCGTAGGCTATTAATCCTAGAATAACAAAGTAAGAAATACCAGGCGTCATCCTGACTTCTTCTTCGTAACTTTCGATACAACATAAACATAAAACCGGAGGAATCCTATTTAAAAGCGTTTCGATCAAGTATTGACATGTGTTTTGCTTTGTTAATCTTWACTATTATWGCTGACCTTTAGCCTTGAATTATCMATTAAATTTCAGCTTTTATTACGTGATGCGTGACTCTGGAACTAGAGGAAAGCGTGATGCGTGATTTCTGAATTTTGTGTGACTGAAAAATAAAGTACGTTTCATTTTTAAAGATCCAGTGCACCTAAAGAAACTTTCTGATCTTTTCTCTTTGATTCTTTGTTTGTTTGTTTTWCAAATGATCTCTTGCTGAAAGGTGTTTTCTGATTGGTTCAAAATCAAAGATGGCGAATTTTCCGTCGTATGTGACTGGAAAATCGCGCAAAGGCTCTTGGATACTGCTTTTGGTTGTTCACGTGTGAACATTTATTTCTCGAAATTGAAAAGAAATGAATCCTAACATAGATTCATCGTTAATCATCGTCTATGACTTGATGGTAGATGTCCCCTGGGCATCCCATAGTTTTCATGAATAAARAATAAACAAGAATTACTTAAATTACCCTAAAAATCGCCCATAATCGAGCACAAATGTCAGAGTTGAGATTTTAGGTTATTCTAGCTTGTTTATCCATCATTTTGACAATAAAAGAAATAAAAATTTATCCGATATTTTTACTTTCAAATTCAAAAAGATTTCAACTCCACAGAATATTATTMTTCTCTGAGCTTCTCTGCGGCAAAGGAGTCAAAGAATTCGATGCTTATTAATCATTAAAAACATTCAGTTTTCGAAAATTATCCAAACAAAATGCTTTTGTAGTCATTCGAATAGAATTTCACTAGACCGTGATAGAATATTAATGAMCTAACATACGAGTGTGTATATAAAAAACTTTTGTGAAGAGTCAACTTTACTTATAACGCTGGCTTGATGACTTAAAAAAGGTTTTTATGACACGATTCATATGATATTCACAKACAAATTTATAGGACATCTTGAAATGCGTTTAAATTCCTGTAAGTCAAAATGGATGAAGAATTGATGAGGCGACCAGCAGACTCAACCATCAACTAGTTATAGTCGAATGACTGTTAGCTCGATACGAATCAAGATGGTCGATGTTCTAGTTGTTGCTGCGATTTTTACAACCGTGGGAGTATTCTCAATTGTGTATWATAAATTGTTTGACTTTTGCGTAAGAAAAAGATTGCAAGCGATTAAAATCCCCGAGGAGAAAATTTTACAAGAACGATATGAGATTCAGAAACGACGACTAACCAACCAGGCAAGAAATGCAGAGTGCGTGTGCATTGAACGAGCTTGAAGAAATCACTGAAACCTCMAACAAAGTTGATAGAAATCCTTCACGACGACAAAGAATTCCATGTCGGAAGCAGGCAAAATTTTGTACAATGTCTTAAACGATGTTGGAAATCAAAAAATTCATTTGCGCAGAGAGTTGTAAGTTATACTATATCTTTACGACTTAGAATCTTCAMCTAACTCATTCATAGTTGCCGACTTTGTCTACACAATTGCTTACKAAYGAAGGGTGGCTTGGCRRTAAATCYTAGCYTCGCACCACTCCCCTGAGGCTCTWTTTGTACTATTGTTGCTGAGTGTTTGATTTGCCGGATATACAAAGCTATACAACCARCAACTAGAAGTCCTTCCAGGCACACTAAAGCGCATCATCTCGCATCAGGGAAGCAAAAATGGTTGCAGAACTCATCATTGCCTGTACAACTCTGGCAGCTGCTGTGTTGATTAGTGCTCAAGCACTATGTAAYACTATAAAAATCATGAACATAGAGAAACGCTTGAATCAATCCAACAAACGGCGTCGTGACAAATGGTCATATGGAGTGACTACCAGGAAGGTCTCATCAACTTCTTCTTCTCCTTCTTCTTCGGATCTGGACACAAGAGCTAGTATTACCAGTAATACCTGGTCGACTTCAGATAGCGAGACCAGGGGTTGGTCGCGTTCTTCTTCAGATCTCGAGTCGGGAATTGACATGGAAAACTGGTCGCCTCGTTCTTTAGATCGTAAGAGGATTTACTCAAGGAGCCGAATTTACCTTCTCCATTGAACACCAAAAAAGTGGATCTCAAGACAAGTGTACCAAGTTTTCAGCATTAATCTATGTGTGTACTTTTGCCAAAATTTTGATTGTTTATATGTAATACATTGACTAGCTGTCAGTGAAGTTTTAACCATGAAGCCAGACGCAGTTCACTTCCAAGCGGCCGAAAACTGCAAGTAAAAGGACTTAACTGTTTTTATATCTTACTTCAAAATGTCCTAAATTACTTTGTAAATTTCACTACTACAAACAAGTTAGATATAGGACTAGTAATTGCGAGTMCATGCATAAAAACCCGCCATGCGGAAAAACGGCGTCCATTTTTCAAAATAGTTTATAATTTTTTTAAGATCACTCAAAATTTTTAAGTTGATGTCTTTTGATTGCAAGATCAGACTGTAGATCATGGGTTTGATGTTATGTGGGTAAAATCTCGTAAGTTTATTCTATGTTAGGACTGGTTTWATAGGCGGGAATTCGGACTCATCAAGTTTCGTTGAAAAGACCATATGTCAGCATATTGTTGACTTGAATAGCCGTTAATCTCCTATTGTTAAGTAAACACTGGACATGACCTTCTAATTACCTTTGCTAGATGTTCAACATTATTTGATAACGTCCTCAAAATAATTGCGAACTTCTTACTGCTCTTAGGAATGGAAAGYGTCACTACAAAATTTTATATATAGCTCAATTCTAACACGTGCGCTGATAGGCGGATTTCCWGAGAAAAGCTTTGGTTTATTTCGCTGGTAAACCASCCTGCTGTCTTGAAAGAYTTTTGAGACGTCTAAATGKCAAACACCGGCTATAATATAACGATAGTAAACCTCTTCAATCTATTGTTGTTTCAATTGMTTAAATATCCTAGCGATTTTGAAGGCTCCCATTATGGAGATCTCCCACTMGMCTAAGCTAAGGATTTCTTTTTTAACCAACYAACATGGCGGCTGGTTTGTTGAAATTCGAGGGTATTCAAAACCCTAAAATCTTTTGGGCCAAGTTGTTCAAAGCGCGATTAGCATTATTACCCG